AGGACCTTGAGATCTTCTAGTCCAAGCTCCTGCTCAGGCAGGAAATCCTACACCGTTTCAGACAAAGGGTTGTCCAATCTCTTCCTTAAAATCTCCAGTGATGGAGCACCCAAAACTTCTGGAGGCAAGTCGCTCCACCGATTAATTGTTCTAATTGTAGGAAAATTCTCCTTAGTTCTAGATTGCTTCTCTTCTTGATTGGTTTCCATCTGTTGCTTCTTGTCTTGCCTTCAGGTGCTTTAGAGAAGAGGTTGAAACTCTGATTCACCCATGGGAGATGTTCATCTTGTTTTGGAATAACAGTTTGTGCAAATGCTGTAACTAGACTTAAAACTGAACATTCAAACATCCCTAACCAGAGCCATGGACTCTGTACCATTTTGTGCAACAAATTTCTGCCATGCTGAAAAAGTCCCTTCTTTTATATGTTTTGTCAGCCTTCCTTAGCAAAAACACACAGTTATTCTTCATTGAACTTAGATTGCTGTTGGTTGAGGTCCAATCTGATTAACCGTTGCTTTCACAGCTGATATTAGATGATGTTGTCACATCAAACGAAAGATGAACCTGCTGCCTAGTGTGATTGTGTAGGCTCACCCGAGCAACTCATTCAGAAAGAGAAGTCAGTGGTTCCCCCCAAAACAAGCATCAGAACAGCCAGGTTCCCCATGAAAAAATTGTTTAGTTATCAGAATATTTAGTTGAGATTTTGAAACCAGAATCAACTTTGGTCCAGGTTGTTGCCCTTTTGAATTCTAGAAGCTGAAGTCCCCTCAGATCTGGAAGGTGCCCAGTTAGGTGTAGCTGATTTAAATTGAGTGGTCTTTGGCACCACAATCAACCTGAGTAATTCAACACAATCTTCCTCCAACCAATGTTCTTTTGAACCTTCCTAGTGATTTTTCTCTCCTATATTTTGTTCCCCAGTGGAAAGAAAGGCGGGTGTGCCTCCCAGGAACCCTCAAGGACATGACTTTGGGGTGCCCTCTGCTCTTGGGGGCGGGGCTCCCGGGTTGGCATACAAACTTGTCTGCATCCGGCAAAGTTGTGCTGTGCAGATAAAGAGTTCTCTGTAATTAGAAAGCGGCAGGGGGCATAACAAGAGGCTAAATACATAGCTGTGGTTTTAATTAGACAGCACTTCAAATTAGTAATTGCGGCTTCTGTGAGAAAGCGGTGACTTTATACGCTGCAAAAGCCCGATGGCTGCGTGGCTTATTCCTCATTATAGCGCGCTGTGTGAATCCTTCAGTACATTGGCCTGCTGAGCTGAAAAGGCTGGTGTTGAGATATGGTTATTTTCTTTGGCCAGGAAGGGCTGGAATGAAATTAAATTCATCCCCAGCAGAGACGCGGAGATATATTGTTCTTTGCTACCTGCATGTGGCTGTATCTAGAAGGTGAATTAAAGCCAGCCATAAATCAAGGTCTGTCTTTGCTTGGCCTACTTTACAAGGCTGTTGTTGGACCTAGGTCATCCTGAACTCCTGGGTGTATCAAACAATGGCAAAGTAACTAAGGCCCTGGGAATATGAGCTTGTGTGTGTGAGCGTACCGAAAGAAATATATATATATATAAAGGTTTTCCACTTGACATTTGATTGGCCCCCAACTCTGCTGGTCTTCCGGAAAGTGCTTTAAGACCTGGCTGGTTGCCCAGGGCCGGGGATCAGGAAGTCAGTGAAATTTAAGTGCTTTATCATGACTTGGAGGTATTTTATTCTTGGCTGCTATTTTGTTTTCTTTGGCTTAGGCTGTGGTCCATTTCATACAGTTATTTATATTGTTGTTCCAATTCCTAAAATCTTCTCACTGGTGTCAGCCCTTTGGGTAGGCCACATCAGGAACCGTAGCTCTCAGGAAGACGTGAAGAAGTCTACTTTATTAATCTTGCAAGTCAGCACAATTCAAAACAAGATGCTGAGGTCCTAGAAAGAGTGCAGAGAAGAGCAACAAAGATAATCAGGTGTCTGGAGGCTAAATAGTCTGATGAATGATTAAGGGAACTAAGGAAGAAAAAGATTGGGGGGGGGGAACGTACTAACTGGGATGATGGGCTGATTCTCCAAAGCATCAGAAGGCAGGACAAGAAGTAAGAGGTGTGGAGGCTTGCTAAAAAGTGACTCAACCTAGAAATAAGGAGAAATTTTCTGACAGTGAGAATAATTAATTAATGGAATAAGTTGCCTCCTGCCTTGTGGAGTTGTGATGCTCCATCACTGGAGGTTTTCAAATATAGACTGGACAGTCATTTGACAGAGGCAGTACAAGGTCCCCTACCTTGAGAAGAGGGTTGGATTAGGTCCGTTCCAGCCTTCTGATTCTATGTTCTATGTAAATCTGTGTCTCCCTTCTCTCTTATAGCTCGGAGAGCTGGCGGGGGCCATCCTAAATCTCTTCTTAATACCATTTAGCTACTCAGGATGTGAGCAATGCTTCTGTCCTCATTGTCTACATAATGAGCCAATGAATATTGGCTTCGAGGTGATTTCCTTGGCTTCTTACAGCCACCAAGAATCTCTTGGATAAAGGAGTCAACCATGCAAACTTTAAAAAAAAAAAAAATCACCTTGGTCTGGAACTCAGGACTTGAGAAAAGCAAAGACTTGGGCATGTGGTTAGATGCTTCAACTCATTCTGCTGTTTCCTCCTAAACTCGTCCACTGCTTACAAAATGCCCACATGGTGGTAATCCCAGAGGCCAGCTATCTATTTTCTCTCTGCAAGAACGTCTTTGGTCAAGTAGACGAGATTGCAGAAAGCAAGCAGATGGTGAATAATCTTGGAAGTTTCAAAGATAATTCAGCTAAACCCTGACTTGATAGGGAGAAAGGGAAGATAAAGTTTTGAAATCAAGTTACCCGTTTCTTTTCTTTTCCTAGACAAAAATGCTCAGACCCGTGTTGACATAATCATTTTTTTTTTCAAAATACTGATTTACAGCTACAGCCGTTGTATCACATTTAGTATATTTCTACGTTACCTAAAAGGGCGGATTATAATTATCCACATTGATTTGAGCAATTACAGAGCTTCATTTTTATTAATCCTTTTAAAAAACTTACTAGGAAATAGTAAATGCTATATTGCTTGTTTACTATATAATTATGTTTTAGTAATGAGTTATGTCAGGCTGCATTAGGGTGGTGGAATTTAATTAAACATGGAAACAGTAGCAGTAGAAAGGATCTTTTTAATATATATATATATATTATATATATAATAAAAAATACAACCAAACTGTTAAAATATTCTGGATAAATAAATTTCTCTTATTAAAGTGACTCATTTATATACAGCCTCCAGTCCTGCCGTTACAGGTACGTTTAGCTCCAATTCCACTAATATGATGGCTTTAGGAAAGATACCATATTGATTTCATAGACCATCTTCATTGCCTTCTGTTGGTTTAGGGTGCTTGACCATCTAAAGCAGGGGTCTTCAAACTCGGCCCTTTATGACTCATGGACTTCAACTCCCAGAATTCCTCAGCCAGCGTGCCTGGCTGAGGAATTCTGGGAGTTGAAATCCATGAGTCATGAAAGGGCCGAGTTTGAAGACCCCTGATCTAAAGAAGTGACTGGATTCAGACCTCATGCTCAGCCATGTTTTATTGAACCAGACCATGAACCCAACCTTAAACCAACCATATTAATATAATATATGATCCAGGAATCCTAGCATCATAGCGTCACTGGAAGTGACCCTGGAGGTCATCTAGTCCAATCCCTTGGCCATTCTTTATACCATTCCTGGACCAATGGTTGTCCGATCTTCTCTGGATTGATGATGGAGCACCACAACTTCTGGAGGAAAGCTGTTCTATTGATGAATCATTCTCACTGTAAGGAAATTCCTCCTTAGTTCCAGATTGGATGTCCCTCTGAGGATATCCTACCCATTACTTCCTGTTATGCCCTCAAGTGAGAAGAGCCACAATTTAGTCTCCAGTCCTCTGATCATCTTTGTTGCTCTTCTCTGCACTCTTTCTAGGGCCTCAGCATCTGTTTTGTATCGTGGCAACCAGAACTGGACACAGTTTTGCAAACGTGATCTCACCAATGCAATATAGAATGGTACTACCTTGTCTCGTGTCCTTGATGCTATCCCTCTGTCAATGCAACCCAGGACCACGCTATCATTATTTTTGGCAGCTGTAACACACTGCTGGCTCATATTTAAGTGGTTGTCCACCAGGACACCAAGACCCCTCTCACGGGCTCCACTGTTAAGCCAGGGACTGCCTATCCTATATCTGTACGTCTGTTTTTTTCCAGCCTAAGTAGAGAACTTACCTTTTTTTCAACACTGAATTGCATTTTTTTGGATAGGATCGTGGCCAGTATTTCAGAAACAACACAAACTAATCTGCTTTGTTCCCTCCCTTGATCAAATTTTATTAATGGAAAGTTGTAGGGTTTCAGTTTGGAACTTTATAGATGTGTGTTTTGGATGGGGATGTGGCCATTCCTCCCTACCCGATTTTTCAGTGTCTTCCCTTAGAAGGAAAGGAAGGCATAAAAGGTTTGGTAGAGCATTTCAGCCTTGGATAACCTGGGAAATGTTGCCAGCATAAACAGCTCGAGAGTCAGCGAACTTCTAGACCACCATGTTGGATTTGGCTCGGTGTGTTGAGTGACACAAGAAGAGAGTTCAGCTGCAGTGCAGTCTCCAGATCTTCCAAATGGCTTCAATAAATAATTTGGGAATATTCTAATGACACTAGGATGGGCATCTGAGTTGGAAAAATATTGGGTCATTATTTTTGCTTCCTTATTTGGTTTGTCTGTGTGTGTTTGTGTGTGTGTATGTGTGTTAAGGCCTTCTAGAATCAAACTGCTCTTTAAATTTCTCAAATGTTCAAAATCTTTCACGGTCTGTTTTCTTTTTTACAGTTTCCAGTAAGTTTCAAGAGTGGACAGACATTTTCTTATTTTTAAGTAAATGCTTAACCATTTATCTCTCTCTTTTTTTCCCAAAAAATAAAATAAAAATTGCAGTCACTATGAACAAGATCGGAGCGCGCTTAAGAGGAAGGAATGGGAGCGGAGAAATCAAGAAGTCCAGCAGGATGAGGACCTCTTTGCATCTGGCTTTAACCTCTTTGGAGAACCATACAAGGTAAGTCAATGCTGGAAGCAAAGTTTGACATTCATTGAGCAGGAAAAGCAACTTCTTCCTTCTCCTGCTCATTGTATCTCAGCCCCAAGGAGAAGATACCTCTGCAAATAATAGGCAAGAAGCCCACAAGGTGGGATGTTAGCCAATGCTGAGAGATGGTTTTCTCCAACTTGATGTCTTCAGTGATGTTGGGCACCCATTGTGACTATGTGAGTGGAGAAGAACGGGAAGACTTCCAAAGACCGTCTCTGCAGTTTTCTGTATAAGTTCACATATACATCATTAGATAATAATATCCTGCCCTCTGTCTAAATCAATGTTTGTCAACCTCGGCAGCTTTGAGATGTGTGGACTTCAACTCTGGTTAATTTTGAGAACTGAAAGCTTCCAAAGTTGAGAAACACTTCTAAATTACAGGTAGTTCTTGACTTACAAACTGTTTGTATAGCAACCGTTAGATGTTACAACAGCACTGAAAAAAGTAACTTTTGTCTGATCCTCACATGAGTCTCACACCATCCTCACCATTACACAATCAAAATGCAGACGATTGGCAATGTGTTGTATCTGAGCATGTTCCATGACTACAGCTCATTTAGGTACACCTGTATGGATTGGGCAAACCTCAAACAGAACTTTATTAAATAGAGCATAGAATAATAGAGTTGGAAGGGACATTGGAGGTCTTCTAGCCCAACCCTCTTTGAGGGAGATTAAGGCAGTTAAGAAGTGTGAAAAATAAATGGGTGGGTGGGTGGATGGATGGATGGATGGGTAGGTAGGTAGATGATAGATAGATAGATAGATAGATAGATAGATAGATAGATAGATAGATAGATAGACAGATAGACAGACAGACAGACAGACAGACAGACAGATCTATCCCACCCATGGCAGGAGACCATATACCCTTCTGGATAAATGGTTGTCCAATATCTTCTTGAAAGCCTCCAGGTTGAACATGTTGCTTGGCCCCCATCTACTTGGTGGCATTTTGATTGACTTCCATAAGGATCTTGCTTCAGAATGGGTCTCTCTTCCCTGCTGACTAACATGGTCATCTCTTTTTATTTATTTATTTATGAACCAAACTTTCATGTAGTTTGCTCTACATCAGTCAAAGACATGGCCCTGTTTGTCCTTGTGACAGCGATTCTGCCAGGATAAACTGGACGCTTTCCCATTTCTTTCTCTTTTCAGAAATTCCCGTCAACTGAAAACCTGCAAAGGTAATTCTTTGGAGAAGAATAATTCTGAGTCACAGCCATCTGTCCAGCCTCTTTGCACAAGTGCTGCCTCAGCATCTCTGCAAGGCTGGCTAGAGAGGAGAGGAACAAGCGAGCAAGTGTTTGGCCTCCGACTTCTCCCTTCCCTTGACACAATGAGATCTCCTTGTGTTAAGTGAGGAGGGGGAGAGAGTCAAAGCTGGGCTGGGTCATTGTCCATTGTGTGTTGGGTGGGTGAAGGTGGGCCCACGAAAAAGACTTGATTCTTGAGTAAAATGGAATGCACTTTTTGGCCCCCAAAATGTCCTCCTTAAACTGTTCAAGAAAGAAGGAAGGAAGGAAGGAAGGAAGGAAGGAAGGAAGGAAAGAAAGAAAGAAAGAAAGAAAGAAAGAAAGAAAGAAAGAAAGAAAGAAAGAAAGAAAGAAAGAAAGAAAGAAATATAGCCACCCATGTGCACCAAACAAAACACTGTTTTTTCATGCGGTATGATTCTTTGCTTAATTTGATTAAGTTTCTAAACATTTGCTTCAGGGTGTATTTTCTTGATTACAACCTTGTGACGGAAACATTTCTTTTTTTAAAAAAAAGAAAGACATACAGATATCATGTTTCCTTGTCCAATCTGCTCCCATCTTCTCCTTTCCAAAACTTAATATTCCAACAGAAACATAGTGGTGCAAACAATATACAATTCCAAACAAAAGGATCATCCAATCATCCTGACAAACATCAGAGCTGAGACCAAGCAAAGCAACACCTTTTTTTTCATGCAACTCATGAACCGAGTACAGAAACCTCCGTTCCTCTAGTCTACTCACGAGGAGCAGCTATCCAGAGTGCAGATGAGTGATCTCACCATCTCTCCTTTACCTGGAGAGATAGCGCCAGCCAGAGATTACTGTCCAGCTGCTGATCTCCATCACAAAGCTCCTTCAGGGACATCTAGTTCTCCATGAATTCTCACCAGAAGCCCAAAAGTGGTTGAATTAGTCTACAGGATCCACAGCTAGACATTATTCTCCAGCATCTCGAGAGAAGATAGCAATAGTACAGAGGCTTATATACCACCTCACGCTGCTTTACACCCCCCTCTAGGTGGTTTACAGAGTCAGCATCTTGCCCCCAACAATCTGGGTCCTCATTTTACCAACCTTGGAAGGCTGAGTCAACCTTGAGCCGGTCAGGATCGAACTGCTGGCGGTCGGGAGTCAGCAGAATTAGCCTGCAATACTGCATTCTAACCACTGCACCATCATGGCTTTTTGATGCTTGGAAGATGCAGCTGCTACACACATAGCTCTGTCTTTCATCTCTTTCCCACTATGCCCATCATCCTTGACAAATGTCTCCCGAGTCAATTGCCAAATATTAGGAGTTGTTCCTCCATGGTTGTCCTGTAGAAATGGGATGTATTCTAAGGAAGCCAACTTCCCTCTGATGCCCAATAGCCAAAGAATGGCTGGATTAAGGCTTAATTATCTTGTTTCCCTTGTTGACAAAACCCAACAAAGATGCATAAGATATATTTCAATCGCACCTGGAAGAACCTATTCCTTTGAGGAATGATGTATCAAATAGTTTTTGGAAGACTGCTTTCCTTTTTTCCTCCACCATCTCTTAAAAGTGGAGTTTCTTCTGGTAAATTGTCATCTTTTTTTACCGCCACAGTTCCGCCAATTGCTCAGATGTAGTTTTCTTGCTTATCTGAGCAGCAACCATGTGCCACAGGTATTATCTGTAGACAAATGTCCCATCTTTTAAATGGCCTTTCAGAAAAGGAGGGGGGGGAGAGAAGCTGCAGATAAAAACCTAGGAAATTGAGTAAGAAGTACACAGGGGATGAAAACACAATAATGCCAAAAATGAGTCAGAATTTGCCTAATAATTGCTGTGCTTTACAGAAAGTGACTGTGAATCATTGATTTGCAAAAACACATGCTGTGTGGTTCCAGAAAATAAAGGCAACTGAATTTTGCAAATACAGCTGACAACTGTATTTATATCTTTCTTTGATGGTTTTTTTTTTAAGCTCTCCTGAACGCTCATTTTGAAAGAAATTATTAAGTAACCAAGCTGGACTCAGACCCAAAAAGCACCCAGAATCAAATCTTAGTAGTCCAGGGCAACTCAGAACAACAAAAAAAAGGACACTTGAAACTATTATTCATCACAATGCGGAAGAAGAAGTTGGTTGGCAATTACTTTGACCCCCCACTGTTTTCACAGAAAAGAAAGCATGAGCGCTCTGCATCATTTCCCAGCAATTGTCTGTTCCTTCTTAGTTGATAACTCAAAGGTTCTCGGTGAGCTGGTAGGCAGCGCTTCCCCATTGGGGAGTAGATGATCATTTGAACCTGCCAGGATGATTGGCTGGTTGACATTGGGGCCAAAATACTATTTTCAAGGAGTGACATCTCCATTTTTAAACATCAAGTCCATACCCAAACAGTCAAATTGCCGTCTTCCTGGTGACCCACTATCCCCATAGCCATAGTGATAGAGAGGGAAAGAAGCTGTTTGATTTATTACTGCATTTTTATCCCCCCCTTTTTTTTGTATAGAGGCAAAAGAATCAAGGGTGTTTCCCCCATTTTAACCTGGTTATGACTTAAGTGGAAGAAAGTGTCTACCCAAAGTCATCCACCCAGCTTCCATAATCAAACAGAAACTTGAACTCACTTCTCTTCGACCTTGTCAGGTCGATCAGGTCCAAGGATGAAGGTCTAATTAAACTGACTTGTTGCTAAAAGCCTATGCACAGGAATCTTCTCAACGAATGGGTAGCATCTGCTAGGAGTTAGATAAGGGCCCACGGAATTAAAGGAAAATTAGACCTAGTTGTTTGTGACTATGTAGAGATTCTAGGCTATTTCCTATTTTAACTCCACTCCCAGGTTCTGCTACTCCTTCCCTTCAGGCCTTAGTCCAGCTCCTTGGCCACCACCATCATCACCACCACCACCAATGCATACTGTTGCAGTTGCATTGTCACTATTAATGTTACTAGCAGGAGAAAAATGTAAGAGGATTCCTCCCACCCATCTCCATGGCATTAAGACTGAGATCACTGACAGGCATCCTTTTCAAGTAACTTCTGCTTTGAAGGCACTGCCATTGGCTAATAGGCAGGACAAGGACCTCTTTTGAAGTAGACTCAACCCTTTGGACAGGTTTCCTTCTGGAGTCGGTCTATCATCTGTGATGGCAAACATCAGCCATTCCTTGAATAATCTTTAACAAATGGTCATTTCCAGGTTTTAGTTGCAACTCTCTCTCTTTTTGTGACTGGAGCAGGATGTTAATTCATAAAACCAGGGATTCTTGGTTTTATGAATGTTGATTGTTTTGATACGTCATTGATTGTATGTGATTTTATTCTTTTAAGACACCCTGGAGAGATTTTCAGTCCATTACATTGACTTAGAAATATTTCAGATAAATAAAGGCTTAAGAATATGCCAATAATGGCCTGGAGGAATTGGAAGACGTTTCTTAACACCCATCACTGAAGTTAAGGAGAAAGCAAAGATTCCAAGGAACAGAGTCCTTTTTAGAATGCATTTAGGCCAGGGGTCTCCAACCTTGGCAACTTTAAGACTTGTGGACTTCAACTTCCAGTGTGGCTGACTGGGGAATTCTAGGAGTTGAAGTCTTAAAGTTGTCAAGGTTGGAGACCCCTGGCTTATGGGCTGAGAAAAGTCAGATCTTCTCCTTTCTTGCTTTGTCTCATCTCTGTTCATGGGTCACCTTTCTTAACCCTGGTTTCTTTTGATCTTTTAGACCAGCAAAGGCGATGCTCTTGCCAACCGTGTGCAGAACACACTGGGGAACTACGATGAGATGAAGGACCTGCTCACCAACCATTCAAACCAGAGCCACCTTGTCGGCATCCCAAAGAATCCTGTGCCACAAACCCCAGTAGACAAAAATGAGCTGAATTTTTTCCCTGAGCAAAGGAACCGGATGGTCACATCCCACCAGATGGGTGGGAACGCCTCGACGGCTATGCCTCCCCCAGCTTCCCTGTCATCCAATGCAAGTTTGCTGAATGGCCACCAGAGCAGCAGGAAATCCAGGACGGACTGGTCCCGTAGCAACCACAGCTCTGGTGGTGGCCAGTCGAACCAAGCCAGTAGCCAGCCCAATCGGACCAAACATGGCTCTTCTCATGAGCCACCCCAAGGCAGATATGAGGACCTCTACCCCTGCCAGAACGAGCCCCAGAAAACTGGAGGAGGGGAGGAAGTCAACACCCCCCCTTCATCTTCACATTCAAGGAGGCACAATCACTCCAAATCCACAATGGCTGAGCACTCCTACAAAGAGACCACCCACTCAAAGTCTCCGGTGGATCTTGAGTTTCTGAGCCATGGGTCCCCGCTTCCTTCTACATCTTTGCTATCCGCTGCCAACAATCTTTCCAACCAGAACTTTCCTCCTGGGCTCCACTGTAAAAGCAGTATGACCCAGCAGAAGCCCACCGCATACGTTAGACCCATGGATGGCCAGGACCAGGTCCCAAATGATTCCCCAGAACTAAAACCATCCATAGAAACTGAAGGGGTCTATGGAAACCAATCCTTTGGAAGTCTACTGGAAGGGAAAAGCACCGGATCCAGCTCTAAGAATAAACTACCAAAGCTTACCATTCCTCAAATGAGTGAAGTAAGTGTTACCTTTTCTTTCTTTCTTTCTTTCTTTCTTTCTTTCTTTCTTTCTTTCTTTCTTTCTTTCTTTCTTTCTTTCTTTCTTCCTTCCTTCCTTCCTTCCTTCCTTCCTTTCCTTCCTTCCTTCCTTCCTTCCTTCCTTCCTTCCTGCTTTCTTATTTCTTTCTTTCTTTCCTTCCTTCCTTCCTGCTTTCTTCTTTCTTTCCTTCCTTCCTTCCTTCCTTCCTTCCTTCCTTCCTTCCTTCCTTCCTTCCTTCCTTCCTTCTTCCTTCCTTCCTTCCTTCCTTCCTTCGTTTCTCTCTTCTCTCCCCCCCCCTCTTGATCCAGATGGGGTCACTGTGGCCTTTTCATGGAATAAAATTGTGTGCCCTTTTGGCAAAGTGGGATTGGAAGTTGAGTCAACTTGGCAATGACTTAGGTGCACAACAGGACTGTCCGTGGTGATTTTTTGCTCTTGAAACTGACTTTCTTTTCACTAACTCTCATGATTCATAGCTAGTCTGACTGTTAAGAATCTCATTCTGAGTATTTTCAAGAAGGAAAAGTGGGGAAAACAGATGTGGTCCAAAGCGAAAGGATAGAGCGAGCCATTTGTAATATAGGCTGTGGCAAAATCCAAGATGTTGGTTTTGGCTATAGATCCATGAGGAACAAGATGTTCTTGCAGACCCAATGAATGCCCTGTTTACAACCAAAAGGTAAGAATTATGTGTAATAGTGGACAGCTGCAGAATTATGATGAACCAGGGTGTTACAAATGCACATTTCTTTCCATTTGCAAATATTGCGGGTGTTTGACATTAAGTCAATGCGTTTTCTGTCTGAAAAAAATAAATAAAGAGAAGGTATTAGGGATGCTCAAGGATCTTGAGACATTATGTGCAGTTTGGACATGCTTTGAAAAAACTGACCTACGCTAATGTCCAAAACACCTTGCTATCTGCCTTCCATTTGCATAAATCAGCTAAAAGGAAGATTGTGGATTTGGAGCTTGTTGTTTAGTTTTGCCTAGTCTTTTCTCTCTCTCTCTCTCTCTCTCTCTCTCTCTCTCTCTCTCTCTCTCTCTCTCTCTCTCTCTCTCTCTCTCTGTGTGTGTGTGTGTGTGTGTGTGTGTGTGTGTGTGTGTGTGTGTGTGTGTGTTGGATTATATACACTATATCTTATTCTTATTGTGTACTCCTAAGAGGCTGTGTTGGCAATCAATGCATTTGGCTTTCTAATTAAAGATAGCATTTGTTTTGGGGTTTTTTTTCCCTGCTGCGAAGGCAAAAGTAGGATTCATTACAAGAATGAAGCAGAACAAAATAACAGAACCAATCCAGAACTCCTCAAATCTTGATTTCAACTCCAACAATATATATATTATATTAAATATAAGTAATGGTATATTCCAAAAGTGTCTTCTGGGTAACGTCAGCTCTCCTATCACCTCTGGGAATAATTGTTTTGAGTCTGTAATTTGTCTGACCGGTTTCAAGAAAAAGGCGAAGGGGGGAAATCCCTCACCATTATTTATTAACATTCCAAAGAGCAACAAAGACAGATGTGTTTTGCAGGAGAGTTTGGAAAATGTTCTGGGAACAGCATCTGAAAACTTGGGGGGGGGGAGAGGCCTATTTCTATCAATTTGAGGCTGAGGGTTACTTGCAGATGGTGGTTTTATTAGAAAAATGTATTTGGTAATGAATGTAGTTTTGTACATGATTGCTCTACAGATGTTTCTGTTTATTTTTACCTTGGGTTAAAAATCTGCTGGAGGATTCTGTTGCAATTTGTCACTGCTATTGTTTGGCAAGAACATAATTGCATGCAAGGAAAATAATGAAATTGCAAAAGCAGATGAATCTGTTTCCTCTCCATATCTGTTTAAAAAAAATCCCAACCCCATTAAAAAAAATTGAAACATGAAAATTGAAGTCAGAATAGAGCATTGAGGGGTTTTCCTGCAATGTGTATAACCGAGGTTAATGACAGCATCACTTGCTGGATTCAAAACCTCTTGAACGCAGGAAGAAAACAGAGGTATGCAGTAAATAGATTTCAAAAAGGTTACGCATTTGCCAGGAAGTTCAACACAGGAGCCCTGATTCAAATGGAAGCATGCAGTGCTTTTAACCTAGGATCCATGCTGCCTTGTGATGGCAACTTAATTGTCAGTACACATCTTCGAACACACCAGGGTTCTAGTTGCACTGCAGTATGGGCTGCTGTATAAATGTAAACAGACATACAGACATAGATGCACCTCTACATTTTCATCCGCAGAAAGATGATAGATGATGATAGATAGATAGATAGATAGATAGATAGATAGATAGATAGATAGATAGATAGAGAATTGGGTGGGGGGTGGGTGGGTGGGTGGGTGGGTGGGTGAGTGAGTGGATGGATGGATGGATGGATGGATGGACGGAAGGAGAGAGAGAGAGATAGGTGGGTGAGTGAGAGGATGGATGGAAGGAGAGAGAGAGATAGGTGGGTGAGTACCATGGATGGATGGATGGATGGATGGATGGATGGATGGATGGAGAGGGAGAAAGAGGGAGAGATGGGTGGGTGAGTGAGTAGATGGATGGAAGGAGAGAGAGAGATAGGTGTGTGAGTACCATGGATGGATGGATGGATGGAGAGGGAGAGATGGGTGAGTGAGTGAGTGAGTGAGTGGATGGATGGAAGGAGATATATATATATATTTCCCCTCACTTCTGAAGACATCTGGAGTTAAAATTTTCACAGAGGGCTCCTTCAGGGAGCACCTGAATGTCAGACCCACATTTTGGACCTTCAGCATTTTAGAGGAACTTCTACAGCTTCTGCGAGGCTCAGAAGAGACAGTGGAGTGATTCAAAGCGATGAAAGACCTCACCTGGGCCAGTCACATTGCTTCTTCTCTTGAACAAGATACTTCACATTTTCCTTCTTGGGCAGGAAAAGCCCAGCTGGTTTGGGCAGCTGCATGCTTGCCAACATCCATGGAAATGTGCCTTATGGTCTCTTGAACCCAGAGCACCATCTATAAGACACAATCAGCTTTTAAACCAGACATGAGCAATTTAATTTTCCCAGAGAACTACATGAGAAATTGCAACTTTTTGTGGAGGGCCGAACCAATAGGGCTGTGAAAATTCATAGGCACCCATGCACGCACACGTGTGAATTGAAAAAGTAATAGCAGCCACCTTCAGAATTAAAACAATTCAATTGGGTCGCTTGTATAGCGTACAATTACTTACGTTTGATTTCTAATTTATGATTGACTTCACGAGGGTCTGACAGGGACCGTTAAAGGGCCAGATGTAGCCCAGGGCCCCCTAAAATGCCCAGGTCTGTTCTACACAACATTTGCAACTGTGCAACAACAGAAGTTCTACCTCATTTGTCGCCACCCACTTAAAGCATGAAGGATGCAATCTTCTCTCCAGCATTCCTTCTAAGAAAAATATTTTGACAGGCTTCGTATACAGGGAAATGATAAGCTTTGGTTACATGCCTTACAAATCACCCTTTTATCACAGAATGCATTGATTAGCCCTACCTCTGCAAGATATATCTATCCACACACAAGCCCGCAGTCTTTCGGGATTAAAGAGTATAGAAAATTGACAGGTAGATAACCATATTGATCAGTTCAAGCTGAGCAGTAAACGCGAGAGCTTTGTATCAGACGTATAAAATTTTACCAGCATAGCCAGTTTAATAAGGCATTTGGGGGGGGGGGTACTTTATTCTTTTTGTTTCATTTTTAATGGAAGGAAAGGGGAGGAGGAAAAAAAGCAGAGCAAAAACCCAGGTTAATTAATTCCTCATTTTATGTCAGTTTGCCAAAACACAAAGTCCTCTCTTCGTGGGTGGATTTTTCTTTCCCTATTTAAAAAAACGTCTTTTAGTTTTGCTTAAAAAAAAAAAAAAACTTCAGAGGGTGAAAAATAATGGACTGGAACAAGCATTTAGGCTGAAATTCTTTTGCCGGGTTCATATTTCAAATAAAATTAAATAAAATCACTGAAGCCAAAACCCAAGCCGGAGCCTCGACGTTCAGGCTGTATTCTAAGGGTACGGCCATGTGGTTTATATTTGTAAATATTGTGAGAAGTAGTGCTTTTGCCGTTTCTCTTAATGGAGAACATACGATAGCACTACTCAAGAGAAATGCCAAAGGGTTTGGTCTAGAGTCCAGCACATTTCCACATTTTCATTAATGACCTAGCAAAATTCTGGAAGAGAGCTCTTACCAGGATGAAAATAACCTGGGGAAAGTTAGAAATCAAGATGGCCTTGTTCAGACTTGGATATGGCTTGATTTCGGTTTGAACATCGTCTGACATCTGAGACTGGACTCAGTTATCAGGTGGGGAGGAGTTTCTCAACTTCAGCAACTTTAAGAAATGTAGACTTCAATTTCCAGAATTCCCCATCCAAAATTCCAGTTTAGTTGAGCTCATGGATTAGAACAGGTTTCCCATTTCTCTTCCTGCTGGGCCCCAGAAGGATGGGACCCAGCTTCTCCTAAGATGGCCACAGGAGCGCTTTGACAACCTTGAGGCTTTCTTTTCTCCTGAGCGCCATTTCAAAGTCACTTGCCAGGTGAGAACGACTAGTTCCTGTCCACGAAACACGAATGGGGAGCCCCTCAGGCTGCTGAAGCGATTTTTTTTCTCCCCTGAATTTCACTTTGCCTTCTTTGCAGAAGAGACGCCGCGGTTCAGTTAAAAAGCAGCCTTTCAATAACTCACTCCACAACATTTTAAGCGAGAGAAACAACCTTTACAGTCTATTCTTCAAATTAATAGGAATTGTGGAGTAACCACTTAAGGAGAAGGGGAAAAAATGACTCGAATTTAAATTTCTGTGGCTCCCTCTAAATAGGAAACAGAGCTGAATCCAACAGCGCAGGCAGAAAGACTTTATCTCTTACTTTGTTGTATTATTTTTTGGGGGTGGGGGAGGAAACGCAACTGCCCCAAGGGTAGGTTATCCTCTCAACTTGCAGGGTAAAAA